TTCGTGTTCTAACTGTGCTCGTGCGCTGTTATACTCTTGATGAAGCCTTAGAGCTTCCTCTCCCAGTGCGGCCCATTCTAATCTGAATAAGTTATATGTCGTCTCGAAAATTTGGAGAAAATTTTGGTTCCGAGGCATCGTAAAACCAGTAATAGACGGGCACACGGTCTCCCAGTCCATAAAATCGTTTGGTCCTATTCTTAATTTAAGAGTATCCCCTTCTATCGTTAGAATACTGTCAAGATGAAAAGTGTGTTGCGGCATATCCGCAGGTCTTAAATCAAAGGAAAATGCTGTTGGGCCATATTGGCGAACAAAATCTTGGAAAGCCTTAGTACAAATCCTCCACTCTAGCGGTGTATAGGGCTGAATGGTTGTCGTCATCATATACCTTACTTTAAAAAACTTACTACTTTCTTTTCAGAAACTTACTATTGACTCGCTGTTAGGAATGAAAAGAAGTAAAAAATATTCCTAAAAGTTAAAAACACATACCAGATATAAAAGTCAGTAAGGCTTGATCATTCTTTTCGCAAGCTATCATAAAAAAAAAACTCGGTACAACTATAGGGTGTTCAGGTTCACTAAGGACGTCGAGTGTTAAAACACTAACTCTCCAGAAAATCATTTCCATGCCGTTCGCTACCTGAAAAAAGAAGGGAAGGCAGAGCAAAAAGACCACGTTATAGAATCTAAGAGAACGGTTTATGATGGCCTCTATTTAACTTCTGATAATGGTGATTTTCTTGGTTTTAACATCATTTGAATAAGTTTTTTTGTGAGGCTTACTCTCAAAAAATCCCCTTTACTATACTATTTGGAGCAAAAAAAAGTACGGAACAATTAACCACCCAGACGCATTACGAAATTAATCAAGGAAAGAAGGTTTCTCTTCTAAACCCTGCCACCTAAAAAGATTTTTGGAGGGAACGGCCATCAAAGCAACCACATTGTGTTTTTTAACGGGTACATTCTTTGATAATACTTTCTCATGGCGTGGTTTCGGTGGCGAAAAGGGAAAACGGAGCGTAACGGCCAACAGGTCCGAAAGAAGGCAAAGCCAGCAACAACTTCCAACCGCACATAGTTTTGGCCATAAGGCTCGCGGCATTATCGGATCAGTATCAGCTGCACCGCTCAGTGAGTAAGTGATATTTTTTTTTGGCGCAAAGGCATGCGTCGACGTTCCTTAAGAGACGCCGCCCGCTCCAAGCTTCTACCCGGTCATGGTGTAGAAGAAAGCCCCGGTTCTTCAGTAGGAGGACAAAAAATGCAACACGTCAGGACAACGCACACCAAACGCTTTGCAGTTATTAAGAACTCTATTATAATGATAATTTTTTTTTCTCTACCAACCCCAAAGACACATCTTTCTTGATGAAACGTCCAGCTTTGGCTAGCCAAGGTTTCAACAGCGTGGGATTACTTGCCGTAATCGCGGCAAGTCGGTCATCCATTCCCATACGAGAAAGATTTAAATGCAAACCGCACCAGTGCTTCTGGGTGAGGTTAGGCTGGGTGATAAAAGAATCTACTTGGAGTCTTGATTGAAGGTCACGAATGCATCAATCTACCTTACCCCCGCCCCACTGAAAGAGGAATACCAATGTACATTAGATGAAGCTGCTCCGCATTGATGGACTCCAGCCAATGGCAGCAGACGTCCAATGGCGAGCAGTGGCATCAGAGCATGATGTTTCACTTGATTCGCGTTGCAACACCATCGTTATCAACACATTGTGGCGCAGGATATGGCTCTTGACAATTGTGATTGGGTAGTAACATAAATTACATAGTTCTTCAGGATCGCTTTGGGTCGGCAGAAAGCCAAGCGGCCGAAATGCAAATAAGTAACCGATCAATTCTGTCTGATAAATCTCAACTCTAGAAGCACAAAAGAAATAGAGAGACACATTTTAATCCAGCATTGGAATGGCCGCCCGGTTGCCCGCGCCATTAAGAGGATATGAAGGGTTCTCTTTCCGAACCCTTACCATGGAACCTAAATCCACCCCAGCCACCCCCAAAACCTCTAGATTACCCTTTTGTGCTGGAAACTAAATGCTTGTAAAATTATTCTCGATATACCAGATTTGGGATACGGGGTGTGGGGGGTTGGCCCATTCTTCAGCGTGAATTCAGAACCATTTGATGCGGCAGTTCCGCCGCTTAGCCCCAATACCGGGTGCCAACGTGCAAAGTGGGAAGGGATGCTGCGCTCACGAAGTTTCTAAAATAATATACAACCCAGAGCGCGCGCCATAAAACAGTAGGGCGAGATAATGAAACCATGCCCCAAACCCAAGATCAAGAAGCGGCGGCTGGGCTTTAAAAGAACCAGAATGCATTTAGTACGCATGGGCCCCTTCCATGCGCCACCTGAAGGTGCAAAGGCAACTTACCCATATAATAAAAAAAACGGTGGTATGTGATGGATGGATCTGGCTTTGCTTCCGCCCCAAATGCACCTTTCTACCGATGCAGAAACGCTACGAACAATGGGAGGGCAACTCTGTTAAACCGACCCGCCAAGGCAGCGCCACAACATTACGGCGTCCCAACGGGGAACTTGTAAATAGGGTCAATGCAAGCTTGGCGCCGCTAGAATGTAGCTTAAAATAAAGAGTCCATAGCACTAAGAATTGTTCTAAAACGGTTCATCCAGTGGGTCTCACATCGCGGGATGAGGCCATATAGGGCATCGGTTTTCACAAACTCTTTCTTTCCTTCATGGTGGAGCCGAAAAGAGGATCACTGCGATCAAGGAGCCCTATATTGCATAAAATTTCTTCCCCTTTTCTAATTCTACAACGCAGAGGAGACTCCACACAGATGCCATAAGCATCCGGACGCTCTGGCATCTATAAGGGTAATGGTTTGATGCAATAGATAAATAAAGATTTCATTTCACGCAATACATAAATAGAAAGATTGTGGACATTATGTGGCTAGAAAAATACCGACTATAGGTGCAGCTACCTTAATCGGAGGTGCGCCGCGCGAACATTAAAGTAGAGTGAAAAACTACCAGAACAAACTGAGAAAAATGGCGGGAAGATGAATCAGTCTAATTTCCCTTTCCGCATTGGAGCACCGCACCGATGCGACATGCTGCTTTGGGTGTTGTAGCCTACATTTCGAACAACTGGAGATAACGCTCCTTAAAAAGAATAAAAAAAAGAACATGGAACACCCAAATGTCAGCTGATGTGTGTCCATCCTTTTCTTCTTAAAACCAGTGAATCGCTTGGGCCGAGGAAATCTGTACATACGTCGACCCGTCGTCGTGGCCTATATGAAGGCAACATATGGACCGACACAGAAGCCTAAGCCCTGCAATTGGCCAAACCGTGCCATTGTCCATCGGACCGACTGCGCCACTCCAAAGCCAGAACGGTAACCCCCAAACCCACAACGAGAACAACAGCAGCACGCAGGATCTTCTAGAAAACTCTAGTTGCACGCTACTTTCTTTGGCGCCTTGTAAACGCAGCGGTTGGGTTTAACCCATCCCCACCGCCGCACTTACACACAACCATTCCCCGAGGCATGGCAGAAACAACCGCGGCAGGAAAAACATAAAAGAAGGATTCGTAATTATCAACGACTACTGCTTAAGGTTAAAAGATTAAATGGGTGGGGCAGCGCCCGGTCTATGGCGCGAGGGGTTGGGCGATGGCCTCGCGGCGGGATCTCTTGGTCCAAAAAAGAGATTAAAGTTTTTACAAATACCCAAGGTCAGTGTGTGGTGCTGGCGGTTTGGCTTCCCGTTTATAGGATTTAAATGCCACAGCCCAAGGGAAAGGGAAAGAACCAATCTTGATGAAAGGGCCCGGGGAAGAAAACCAAACACACCACGCCGCAGATCAACATGCGAAGGCGAAAATGGGAATATTAAAAGGCAAGAAAGATGACCACCCCGTCGCCCTGTTTTTTTGGCAATTGGACGTGAGGGGAAGCCCGCCTGAGAAAGAAGATCCCGTGTGGGGGAAAATGGTTTCCCCACATGCCTTTCTTAACGCTGCATAGCTTAAGTTTCCATTCGCACAGCGGAATTAGATTTGCAGGAAACGCCAATCAGCGGGCGAAGGCAGCTACGAAACGATAACGCCTACTTCTCTTGTGCGCACCCCAGTTGTGTTTATGTACTGCGGAAAAAAAGGAATTACCCAAGACCCCGAGGCCAGAGACGGATTCAAAGCGGCAATTGCACGGACATGCCGACGAACCAAATGCCAAAGTGACCCGCTTGAAGCCGTTAGGCCGCTAAGGGTGGCGGGCGCTTTTAAGAAAGCACAGGTGGCGCAGTGAGGGAGCGAAGAAGGCAAATTTTTTTTTCAGGGGGTGGCTTATCCTTTTTTAAAAAAAGAAAGGCGCCTTCACAGGAATTCCTCTGAACCCTTAGAAGGCGGCAAAGCTACGCAACACAGGGAACAAGCTGTTATCGATATCTGCTGATTTCTCTTCCTTCTTTCTCTGCAGATGAGCCTTCATATTTCTTATTGAATTATTATCGTTGTTAATTCTTATTTTATTGGTTTTGTTTTTGCGATTCTTTGTTTATTAATTATTATGTTTTTTATTTGATTTCTTTTATCAAGAGCAGCATGTATATACCCAATAAGCGGTGAAGGGAAGCATATTTTGTTTACAGGTTTCTCACCCTCAAAGGTGCACGGCTATATCCTGTCTTCTTTTTATTCTATCCATCTTAATTGAGTGTAAGGCAATTTCCATTTGATACCGTATGCCGTGTTGACCACAAGAGCTTATTTAAGGCAACCAATGGTCTGCTAATACTTGGAAATCAGTAAAAAAACAACAATAAAAAGATGCCATCAACCGATGTATTCCTGGAGTCTTTCTTTACAACATCCTGTTTCATTTTCTCTTTTTCTTTCTTTCTTTTTTTTCTGGCGGTCCCCAATGCGGTGACCGCGTCACCAACAGCTGTATATATAAGCTTATATTCGTTTTACTGTGACGCGCTCTCATCGAACAGATCCGAAAAAATATAGCACGTTGTAGGGCACGGATTTGTATTGCCCCATCGCCTTGGCAATGCCTGCCACCCCATCACGGTGCCAAGGTCCAGTACTTCGTATTCTCAGAGGAAGCAAAGAGCCAGCGACGTTTTTCTTTTTGGAAGACCCGTTGACCCTTAGGCTAAGGCGTTATACAGCAATGGGGCCATCCGCGTCGTGCTGGGGCAGAATTTTATCCAAGAAGGTCCTGGGGCACGTTTCAACGTGCTATCAGCAGTATCACCCGCACCAGGTTGCAGCTGAGTGGTGGTGATGTAGAGGAAAATCCCGGCCTTCACTGCGAGGAGTGCTGTGGAACCCAGCTGGGCTTACCCAGGCCAAGAGGCTTGCTCTCCACAAAACCCTTGTTGAGGAGAATGTGACATTCTGCCTTCTAAGCGAGACGAAACTATCTTGTGCGGAAGTGTCGAGTTTCACAATTGCTGGTTACCAACATCATGGAGTGCCCCACCCCTCTAAGGGAGGTGGCGTTTCGATTCTTGTGCGCGAGGATCTGCCAGTAGAAGTAGGACTCACCGTAGTTGCAAGCATTGGGCATGCTCATGCAACGATCCACATGTCAGAAGGTCTGCCGCTCACAGTGGCGTCAGCATACTTCCCTCCGGGGAGAACATGCGCAACCTCGCCACTTGACACGCTTTTGGCGAGAAGCGGAACTCACCTCATTGGTGCAGATGCTAATGCGCATGCAATGGCATGGTATCGTGCGATCTCCCCTGATACCCGTGGCGATGTGCTAGTACAATGGTGCTTAGATAATGACTATGTTATTCATAACACTGGCGATTGCACTCGCCACACCACACGCCATGGCCTGTCCGCGCCAGATGTGACACTGTCCCGCGAATGCCGTCTAGAGTCATGGACGGCATCTTTCTCCCCGGACAGCGATCATTACATCACACCCTTCGGCGTAGTAGTAGGAGATGGTGATGACGAACCACTGCGGTTCCCTCGCCCTCGCGCACCCATTTATGCATGGAAGAAAGCGAAATGGCCTCGCTTTAGACAAATGTCAAACGCACAGTGCAGTAAACGCCTTAAAGAGAAAATGAGCGTTCACAAGAGAGAACGCCTACTGACCTCCGCCATCCGTATCGCAACGGCTGCGGCGGTTCCACGCGGAGGTCGAGACACCACTCCTTTTTGGACTCCCGAGTTAGAGGAAATCGAAGGGAAGATTCACAATTGTAAACCTTCTGTCTCTAGAGACAGATTAGTAGCTCGCAGAAGGAAATGCTACGACAAGCATCCCATAAGAGATGGAAAACCCTCTGTAATAACATGGCCGTGGCAGACGGCTGCTGTTGGAACATTCTGAAGAGGATTTACGCCCCACGCCCCCTCAGCACCCCGGCGATAAAGATTAATAATACGGCACTCACATACAATCAGAAAGCCAAGCACTTTATCCGATTATATTCACGACGGGTTAAACGTCATCCACATTCCTACCCTCCACCGCCCATTCCAGTCACCGATACAGAATCATCCCCATTACAGCAGCAGAACTGGAACGGGCACAGCGTCTCCTTCCTAAAGGGACGGCCGCAGGTCCAGACGGTATCTACGGCGAGGCACTCCAACACTTGGGACCCCGTGCCAAAGCAGAGACTCTTGCCCTCTTCAACGAGAGTCTCCGTACGGGCGTAGTCCCAGTCTCTTGGGAAGTAGGCATTATTGTACCACTTCTTAAACCAGGAAAGAAAGCCACCGACTTGGATTCATTCAGACCCGTTACCCTCACTAGTTGTCTGTCCAAATTAATGGAACGGATCATTGCAGCACGAATTAGAGATGTCATTGAAACCAAGCTGACCCCACAACAATCTGGATTTGGACCTGGTCACTCGACGTTAGATCAACTATTGCATCTACGCGCAGCCCTCAAAAGACCCACCCCTGATTCGCGTACAGGTGCAGTATTCGTCGACTACGCCAAAGCTTTCGATACTGTAGACCATGATCGAATAGTTAGTGCGATGCGAGAGATGGAACTCCCACCGCACATCATTCGATGGTCAGCATCTTTCCTGAAAGGACGTCAAGCCAAGGTACGCGTCAACAGCAAATCCTCTCCTTTAATGCTTTTCCACCGTGGCGTGCCACAAGGAACAGTTCTCGGCCCACTTATGTTCATTATAGTAATGAACACCCTAAGCAAACGATTATCTCAAGTTCCCTTATTATTTCATGGATATTTTTCGCCGATGATCTCACACTAGCAGTACGACACGTCAACCGAGACATCATAAACAGTACACTGCAACAAGGACTAAACGTGGTGGATGAATGGTCCAAAAACTATTTTATGGAAATCAATGTGGACAAGACGAAATACACCCTTTTTGGAACCTTAGACCCGAATCCACTTTCTCTTGAACTACGCGCTATCCCAGTGGGCCCGGAGAAGGCACCTAAACTCTTAGGCATCACATTCCAAAACTACCGAGTCATGTCTACCCATGTGGTTCAAACGAGACAACGCATGAATTTTAGATTACTACAACTTGCAGCAATCTCCTGCACCACATGGTGACCGAAACGTGACGTCCTCCGAGCCTTCTACCTGACGCTAGTTCAAGCCCAGACACTCTACGGTTTTGAGATCTGGTATTGGGATGCGGCTCCCACTTCACGCAAACTCCTCGATGCAGGACAGAACAAAGCTTGCCGAACCATAGCAGGTATCCCATATGGATGT